GAATCTCAGAGGAACTTCACAGGAACCTCAGAGGAACTTCAGAGGACCCTATGAACCTCTGAGGAACTTAAAAGGAACTTAAGAGGAACCTCAGAGGAACCATCCCTGCCCTTCAGACTGATCCTAAAATTCATTCATCAGATTTGAAGTCTCTCTGACGTATGGCCCTGGGCTCCGTGTATCTCCGCTGTGAGCGCGTGCAGGCAGTCAGCAGGGGGCATCCAGTGAGTGGAAATATTCATCAAACTATGCATTAGAGGAGCGAGCATCGCTCCGCAGCAGGCAGCCTCTGCGGGTGGATGGAGCAGGCAGGCAGCCTAGCTTGATCCTGCCCCTGGCTGCTTTTTTTCTGCTCATATTGGATCATATTGTTCCTCCTGCAGCCCCCCCACTCTGGCTGGGAGGGAAGGAACATGGCGACGGTACCAGTCTATTGCATCTGCAGGCTGCCTTACGACGTGACCCAGTTTATGATCGAGTGCGATGCCTGTAAGGACTGGTTCCACGGCAGGTAAGGACTCTCCGCTCTGCTTTTCTGGGGAACAAACCAAAATGGCGAAGCCTGCGTTTGACAGCAGCTTTGTGGCTCCGCTCCATCTGAGCGGAGGCCGCTCGGAGGAGAAGAAGAAGGCGGAGTTAGAGCCCGCCGACCGGGGCTGGGACATTTTAAACAACAAAACACATTCCTGGGACCGACTAATAGCTGGGTAATAAAGCAGTTACACTCCGGCTCACATCCTCCGCTCCCCCGATCTAAACTCTGCCTCCTCCCCGGCCAGGAGCGCTGAGCGTCGGGGAAGCCTCGGCGGAGCCTCCGCTAATCGGGACCTCCTTTCCCCGCCGCTGCCGGACATTTTATCGGCCATGTTGTCGTTGAACGCGGCCGCGCATGAAGCTCTCGGTTCGGTCGCTGTTCAAGCAGAACGGAGACCGAGCCGAGGGGCCCCGGAGCGGAGCCTTCCTGCCCCGCCATGTTCTCGGAGGCTCCGCCGGTTCCCTCTGCTGGTGTGGCCGCTGTGGAGAGGAGCAGAACCCCCCCCATCAGACGGCATTATTGGCCCCCTGTCCCTGACTGTGACCCCCCGTCCCTGACTGTGGCCCCCAGCCCGTCAGATGGTCGCTTTAAAGCGGCTTTATTGGAGCCAAGCAGCCCTGCGGAGCGGAGGGTTTACGCGCCTGAATGTTAACCCTTCACTGGGTGCCCGGGGGAGGGGGGGGGATAAAGTATTGGTGATGCTGGTTCTACCTGCTGTCACGTGGTGAAGGTGAGTTTGGGGCAGCAGCCATGTGTACTTTCCCTCCATCAGCTAGAAAATGAGGCTGACCTGTTTACCTCCACAAAGCATCTAAAGCCTGGTTTATGCTCACAGACCAGGCTGTCTGCGTGTGTTAACCCAGACCCCCCCTCCTCTCCAAACCTGTAGGTGAGTGCAGACAGGAGGCCTCTGATTGGTCAGTTGTACATCCTCTCTACACTATGGGTATTTCCTGTTTGGTACCTAATGGCAGAAACTCTGGCTGTAGTGCCGTCCACAGCGCCTACGGACTCTATCCCAGACACCGGCGGGACGCTAGTTTGTAGCTCTGTGCGACGGTCTGTTGGTTTGCTACCGAAACCAAAACACGCAACACCACGGCCAGTCTTTGGGGAACACTCATGGTTAAAATGTGTGGCGTCCCGCGTTGGATGAGGGGTTGTAGACGACAAACAAGCTTGTCAAACCGAAACACGGACGCCCACAATCCTAGCTAGCTCCTGATTGGCCCTCTGGCGTTGTGGTGTGGAATAACACACCGCAGACCACGCTTCAATATTGGGAATAAATCAAACATATCTGCGTCATACCTGTGACAAGCTAACTGCGACACACTGGACATGTTTCAGGTTCCTCTAGTTTAGGGGGTGTGAGGTTCCCCTCTGATGGCGCTGGACGTCCAGCAGCAGCAGCCGGGTGTGGAAACACCTCTGGAGGCTGCAGGACTCGGCGGGTTGTTCTCCTCTCTGATTGGTTGAACTTTATGTTCTCCTCTCTGATTGGTTCTTTCTTTGTTGTTTCCATCCTCTGATGTAAACTAATTACATCAGAGGAACACTGAGTAGAGTTCCTTTCATCAGCAGGCTGTTTACGGACTGCTGATCAACATCATATCCAGTCAGCAACATGATGAAGGTGTGACACCACTGTAAATTCAGGGGCCGCATGCTTTTAGGGGCCGTGACCTTCCAGGGGCCGCGCTGAAGGTTGTCCCAAGCTGCCAGTCCTTCTAAAGCCTGGCGTACCCTGTGCGATTTTCGGGGCGATTTTCCAGTCATGTGACAATCTTTCGATCGGCCGAACTTTCAGCCTGATTGAGCGTCGTGAGTCGTGTAGGGGACTACGAGCGGCGATCAGCCTCTCACGACCATCACCTGATCAGGAATCGTGAGGAAATCAAACATTCCGCCATGGGCAAATCGCTCAGGGCGCAACCAAGGATTCTTCTTTTTATTCTTCCTCTCAGATGTAAACACAGCAGCGTGGCGGAGATGCAATGAGTTAAATGCAGCGCTGTCTGCAAAATTGATGGACCGCAGCAGCCACGTCCTTTTTCCAAATACGTCGTCGCCTTTTCTATTTAGGAATTTCAGCACAAAATTGCTCAAATTGCCAAGGCAGCGCGGTTCACTATAGGGAGCTTAATATTCCCCGTTCGATTTGTTTGGCTTCAGGATAGATGAGCAGCTCCATCTCACTGCAGAGCTCAGTCCCACCTGCTTTTTTAGTATTAGAGTGTGAGCAGGTAGATCGCATCAGAACGTCAGGCCAAACATAATTCATGAGTTACTGCTCACACTGTACGACTAAACCCTGCGATTAGTCGTACAGTGTGAGCAGCAGATGCGTTCAACGATAGAAAAAAATCACAGTATACGCCGGGTTTAAGACTCCTTCAAACGCGTCCTCTCTCTGTCCCATCTTTCTACCCCCAAATTAACTTTTATGTAAATATATATATGTAAATATATATATATTTACATATATACATATATATATTGATATAGTTGTATGATGTAGAAGAACATTGTTTTCAGTTCCTTTTTGTAAAAATAATCACAGAACTCTGAATGTCCCGTTTGATTAACATCATGCGTCCCATTAAAAATACAAAATAAGACCTGAGGAATCATTCACAGGTTTTATCCTTACCTCTGCCATACAGCGCACTTCACTCTGGCTTTTTAAGTCTCCTCAGATTTCTGTATTCCTTCGATAGGCAAGAACTCTATTCAGTTTATTTCTATAGCTCCAATTCACATCATGTCATCTGAGGTCACTTTATAGAGACAATTAAACTAGACCATCCAGTCAGATTGATTCAGAGTTTTCTATCTAAGGAAAACCAGCTGATTGCATCGACTCATTGACTCTT